CTCTCTTTGTAGGAGTACAACTGAAATTGTATGAGTGATACTATTGTGACAGAAGTGAGTAATTTTACACACTTGTGAGTACCTGGTAAGCTTCAAATGAATGACTTTTTGTGCGTATAAGAACAATTAATAATTAACCTTTAAATTTAACTATTGTTGAGCAATTTTTTACTCGGACTTGGTTCTTAGTTGACTAAAATTGAGTGAAAAAAAATCGCAATTAATTACATAGTTTGAATACAATGGATTTTTTACTTTAATTGCCGGTAGACGTAAAGTAGCGATGACATTTAAATATATGCCACTATTTTACGTTATATCTCACCAATAAACAATCTCTCCTTGTGACATATTGTACCCACTACCTTAGTGGAGCTCATCATAATAAGTCATCACGAAACCTTTTTACATAACATCCTAACTTTCCATTCCTTCCATACCACCGGCTTCTCTCCCTATCTAGGTAATTCTCTCACATCAAAGATATTACTCCACATCCTCTTACCCTCTTACAGACGCTTTGATGGGAATGGGATTATTTAGAATCGTTTTTTTGTCAGAGGTCGAACATAAGAAAGCCCTGCTGCAGCTGAGGATCCGTATTTACTGCCTCTCGTCTCATTTGTAATTCCGATCTTGGCCTTATCGCGAGAGAAAATTAAGTTTCGGCTTTTTTGCAGGAAAATTTTACTCAATCTGGAAAACGCCGGCTAAACATTCCCCATTTTAACAAGTATAAAAAGGTAGCAAGTCCATGTCATAACATCAGTATTTTAATAATAAACAAAACCACAACCGTGAACAGTTTAAATTTAAGCAGAATGCGATCCTATTCTGAACGCTTATGAGGGGCAGTGGAACTTAGCCTCCGTTGTTCAATTAAAATGCCACACTGGTACCGCTTTGAATGGAAATAATATTAAATCAGTTCTGCGCAACTATTTGCATATTTTTAGCACACAATTCGAGTAGTGAATACGGCGAGGGAAGGAAAAAACTTGCATGATAGTTCTGGAGTTTGAAATTCGAACAAACTTAACCCAACTTCTGTCCCGCCAAAGCGCCCTTGATTTCCATTTCCTTTTCATAAGGAACGACATCTGGTTTCTCGAACAGTCTCTTCGAGCGATTCACGAGAATAATGCGGACCATTCGGCAACTTCCCCGACTTCGTTCGAAGAGTTTATTTAACAATCGTCGGAATGATTCAAGCAGAACGTGCCGGGAAGTTTTATGGTAGAAATGACGACCAATTTGTATCCCTTTCAGAACCAATCGGGAGTTGATGCTTATCGGAAATCGCAGATCTGCAAAGGACGACTTCGTGGGCGTCAGATATATCCTCTCCATATGTGTTTTCGATGAAGCAGAGATCTTTTTCGGATTAATAAAAGCCTAACGGCCATATTTCGCCCCAAGATTAAATTTAAACGTGTTCTGAGGGTCTTTATTGGATTTTTTCCTTCGGCATCTTTAACGGTCCGTAAGAATTAAAGGCCGTTTTTGATAATAATGAAATTTAATAAACAATACGAGCGCGTTTTTTATAAACCACGTTTCTTAGTATTCAATGTTTATTCAGAACTGTATCCAGAAGAATATAGTAATTGTACAGTTTAGTAACATTTATAAAATCTGGATAATTATTCCCCTCGCGTTTACTAATTGTCACATTTTTCTCAAAATGATTTGACCGCTCCATTTCAGTCACCGGAAGCTCAATATTATCTGACTGATCCATTAAAACAGCATGATGCGACGTACTACCAAAATGATTGCTAATACATCAACTCCTGTATTAGCCAGTAGCGTTGCCGATGTTCTTCGGAATGAATGGCCTGTATATGTTTCAGGATGTTCTAGTTTCAAAAACTGTGCAATCTTATTAGGAATCATAGAAAGGGTATTTTTGCCGACTAATTGGTTGTAGCATCTACCTGCTTGATAGCGCATAAAAAAACGTGAAATTTCAGTTTTAATTTCCAATCCAATCTTGATATATTTCTTGAGAATTTCTAAGTGAGAAATAGAACCCAGACTAGAAGTAATTGTAAACGTACGTGACATACCATTTTTAGAATCTGGAATTGTAACTACAATAATGTCATCGAAATTTTTGAAATTGACGTCCAAAGTAAGTTTGCATAACTCATCAGAACAGCATGCTCCTGCAATGCCCGTCATTACCTTCATTGGCAAATAAATATACAGGGTAGCCCATCGAAAACGTACCGCAAGGGTAGTAAAGAACTTTTCGGCAAAATCCAAAAACAGGTCAAATTTGTTTCTGAGGGGGGCAACTTTTGGCTTAAAAAGCATACCAAAATCTTCAACCCCCTAAGTGGGGTTGCTATCCCCCTAAATTTTTTCAAATGGGAATGGGGGTCAAGTGGGGGGTCATTAGAAAGGGCTTTTAATTCTCTATACATCGATTCTTACTTTTTGAAAATCGATTCATTAGTTTAGAAAATATGCAGCTTTGAAAATACGAACAATATTTTTGACGAGAAATGCGAAAATCGATTTAATTTTATTTTAAAACTTACGGTATTAGTCAAGTAAATGCTGAAAATGTTGTCCGTCAACTTGCATACAATGATACAGGTTGTCTTCAAACCGTTGTCGAACATTCTGGAGCACTTGCGGTGTTACTTCGCGACATGCATTAATGATTCGTCCTCGCAGATCTTCCAAGGTATCAGGTGGAGTGCTGTAAACTTTGCTTTTAATGTGCCCCCAGAGAAAGAAATCTAAAGGATTTAAGTCGGGTGACCGAGGGGGCCACTCAATTGCACCTCTTCGTCCTATCCAGCGTCCTGGAAACGTCTCATTTAGGTAATTGCGCACATTGAGCGAGTAATGTGGAGGAGCTCCGTCTTGCTGGAAAATCAGTTCGTGTTCATTGTAAGCAGGGTCGTCCTCTATGATATTTGTTAGAGCTGGGTCGATGACATTTTGTAGTAAATCCAAGTACATATCGCCTGTCAAATTTCCAGGAAGGAAAAAAGGACCTACAATGGAATTTCCAAAAATACCTGCCCATACATTCAACTTCTGGGGGTGTTGGGAGTGTGTCTCATGGAAAATCCTTGGATTGGTATCAGCCCAGTAACGACAATTATGGCGATTCACTAAACCATTCAAGAAGAACGTACACTCGTCCGAAAAACACACATTAAAGAGGAAATTATCGTTTATCGCTCGTTCAGTCATTATTTCGCAAAATTGCAAACGACGATCAAAATCGTCTTCATTTAGCTCTTGCACTAGCCGAATCTTATAAGGATGGAATTTGTATTTTTTTAATATTCGTTGGACACTTGTACGACTCACTCCTGTCGCAGTAGCCAATTGCATTGTACTCAGCGTACTATCCATTGCCACTTGCCCCAATACCGCTATTTCCGTAGGTTCATTTAGTACCGGATTTTCAACCTGCCTCTTTTTGTTATGAACGGAGCCAGTTTCGCGAAATTTGGCCACCAATTCGCGAACAATTTTTCCAGACGCATGTTTCTCAGGATGCCGTTGGTTGAACAGTTCGGCGACCCGATTTCCGCATTCATTGTTTTTGAAAAAAAGCTCAATAATTTCTACTCTTTCTGGAATTGAGTACACCATAATTAATCAATTTAAAAGACTCGGCAGTATTGGTACTCTTCAACTACAAGTCACAAGACAGTTATCTAGCAACTTCTTGTGGCCTATCTAAATACGAAACAAAAAGCGGACAATTTTTTGCTCACCAAAATCAGGCTAAAGAATTCGCAAATCAAAAAAAAAAACAGCGAATTCTTTTGAAGGAATTTACCAAGCTAATACCGTAAGTTTTGAAGTAAAATTAAATCGATTTTCGCATTTCTCGTCAAAAATATTGTTCGTATTTTCAAAGCTGCATATTTTCTAAAATAATGGATCGATTTTCAAAAAGTAAGAATCGATGTATAGAGAATTAAAAGTCCTTTCTAATGACCTCCCACTTGACCCCCATTCCCATTTAAAAAAAATTGGGGGAATTGGGCACCCCCACTTAGGGGGTTGAAGATTTTGCTATGCTTTTTGCGCCAAAAGTTGTCCCCCTCAGAAGCATTTTGCCGAAAAGTTCATTGCTACCCTGTAATGCCTTGCGGTACGTTTTCGATGGGCTACCCTGTATATTAACTCGTGCATAAACGAGAACGTCGTTGACTTGTTCTCTTGTAAAAACGTTTGACTTTTTGGGTGTAGGTATAGCCGTCATTCTTACGTTTCAAAAGTGCTCTCAGCTTGGGGTATATTGATATATGTACGTTCTCCTCTATGAAAATAGTTGGCATAATGAATTTCTATATACTCGCCCGTAGCGCACTTTCGACTTCTCGGGCAATAAAAATTCGCAGGCAGCATTTGCTGCACTTTCTATTTGAAAATCACTCATTTAGAAATAACAATTCAAAACCAGCAAAATTGCAAATTTTATGTAGCTTTGTTCATAAACACCTTAGAAACTACTAAATCCAAGCAGCCAAGGCGACTTTGCAAAATTTCGAATTATGTCAAAATGAATTGATTAAGAATCAAAAAATAAAACCAATCTTTATTTCATGAACCATATAAAACTGTGAGAGCAGATAAAATGTCATACACCACGCAGCAGTCAAGTATAATTTACCAGTCTCGGACTCTATTGCCAGCCCTCGCTCCGCTCGGGCGCAAAATCCTCCTCGACTGGTAAATAATACTTACCTCCTTTATGGTGTAAATAACTATTTTCTCGGTAACTATGATTTTCCAAAATTTTTTTTCGATATTGACTCACCCTGTATTTAGAATTTACCGGTCACTGTCATCTCAAGGCTTCAGTCACATAAAGTCCACAATATCTCTACGAAACAAATATCGATAAAACCGGTTTCCCAGTGACCGTTGCTAAGCAAAATCATCGATCACACATTCAAATCTGTCAGTTTACTCCAACAGTTCATGAGTACGTCAACAAATTCACCTTTTAACACTAGAAAATGGTGGTAATCCACGTAAAACATAAAGACGAGAGCCAGTTTCTATTCGAAACCGCCCTGAACGTCACCGTGGAAGAGCTGGTTAACTCCGTCGTCGCCATCTACAACGGCATGTTGAAAATAGACCGAATCTGTTGCGAGATGGAAGAGTTAGCCAAGCACGGAACCCTCTATCCACCGGAAATCCTGGGTCTGACGGAAGAACAGGTGGAGGAGATGAAACTATCCGATCCCTGGGGCGAAAAGTGCATACCCAGCGGTGGGTTTAGTCTTGAAAAGGACCCGATAGGGAGGAGAAACGGCAAGCAGCCAAGGAAGGAGATGCAGGAGGTGCTGAGAAACGCCGTTAGTGAAGCTAAGGAGATGACCTCGAAAAAACTAGTACTACAAGGTAAGGGTCTTTGATCCTAAATTTCTTAGAATGCACTTTATCCGATCTATGAGATGTGCTCTTCAATATTAGAAGAGACAAATGATGCCTGCCATAGAATCTGAATCAGTGTTTCTTCCTTTTCCGTCTATTTCATAACTAGATAACTACCGATACGAATTGCAGGTAAATACCTGACGATGAAGACCATCCAGGAGGCGATCAACATCCTCAAAGGCGCCGTGACCATCGTCTACCCCATGAAACTGCCCCCTCACGACACCATCCGCATGGAGTTCGAAAACATCGAGGACTTGTCGGGCACCCAGGCCTCCCTGCAAGTCATCGATCCCGGCACCGCGCAGATGTGGTTCTGCGGCAAGGAAATGTACCGAGACCGAGGCCAGAAGGTGGGCGAATACGTCGGTAAAATAGAGAACTGCAAGGTGATCATGAAGATCTCGAAGAGGGGGGACGGTCCGCCTGGTAGGGAGCCAATCATGAACGAGGAACAGAGGAAGCATCTGATGTTGCACGCGTACAGGAGGCAGGAGGAGCTGAAGAAATTGGAAGCCGATGACGATGATAACTATCTCAACTCGGAATGGGCCGACAGCCAGAATCTGAAGAAGGCGTTTCACGGGTTGCATAACATCTCCTGGGGGCCGAAATAAATTAATACAGACAATGTGTCCCAAAAAGGTAGGGTGAGACTTTCCCTATGCCCCTTTACATTTGGTCGCTGGTCTTTCTAGGTAGATTAAAATTGCAATTTAAAAAATATTTTTTATTAATACTTCTGTTGTTTTATTAAGATATTCTGTTGAAGTTTTGCACAGAAAAGTGCCTTTACTTTCGCCTAAAGGTACTGTGATTAACAGACGACCTACCTTTTGTAACACCTTGTATAGTTTAGTACGTTGTAATTTTGATAATTTTGAAAGTAAATAAAGTAATAATTAACTAAAATTTCTTGCTCATATGTGCGTAACAGCGTATCCCGTAACTACGTATCCCAGAGGCTTAAAACTCCATTAATTATTGCACAATCAATTTGGATGAAGCACGGGGGAGTTCTGATAGCCGTACATTCCCTGAAATTAATACAACAAACTCCCTGTTAATTTAATGAGTCCGGATTCTCGTAGAACTCTCCGTCGGAATGTGTAAATTACCTTTGGGCCTTTGCCCTTTGCAAATGACTGATGTATAATGCACAAAGGTAGCTTTGCTTGCTTGAGATGTCTCTATGCGACGGTAAGTAGTTGAGGAACAGCGAAAATCAAAGCATACTTGTATAGTTGGTTGCCTCCTTCCGTTCCCACCTCGTCTCGATAAAACACAAATCAAATAACTCACACCGATTAAGATTGATGTGTTTAAAAGAACCTAACAGTAACGCAATCTACGTAACAACCCCTAATGTCCCAAAGCCTCTCGGTTGGATTTTTTTTAATGAATCGGTAAGTAATTCAGACAGGGAGGGAATTATACATACAAATCCGGAATTATTCAAATACACTTACTTTTATTCAGCGCGGAGCCGTTTTCCAACTTTTTCTGAGAGCTCCACCAGCCCGGAACGACCTCGCAGATTCTTCAGGAAATATATGCGCCGTGGCGGCAGGGTCGAGGACGACGTGGGTGCTGTAAAATCTGGCGTAAAAACAAGACGAGAAAGTAAAAGTAAGCCGAGGTGGATTCGCAAAGTCGTGTGGCAGCATACTTGTTAAATAAAAAGGTAACAAAAATGTGTTCGATTAGAAAGAACATAATTACTGTGTACTGCTTAAGTCTTAAGTCCGACAAAATGGCCAAAAGTAGCATAACACTACCCCTTAAATCGTTATCATCTACATCCTCATCTACAACATCTACATCACCTTCTACCTCAACATCTACAGGGTGTTTTTAAATGAAGTAGCAAAAATGGTACCAGTGAAGAGGTAAAAAAGTTGCTCAATGAATCAGTCTCCCCAATAAATATTTTTAAATAAATAATTTGCGTTATATAAAAAATTTCTATTAAAATATTGCAATGGGGTTGACTGTTTCACTCCTTTATAAAATACGCCAATGATCGAACAAATATTGAAAAGTTGTCGCTTTATTAGTAGGATGCTCATACCAAGTTTCATGTCTCTAGCATTCCCCATGTTAAAGAAAAAAATTTAAATGTGAATTTGAATCCCCTCCTTTAAGAGGGTATATCGCCTCAGGGGTGCAACTTTCATATAAGATATTTTTACTTCAATCCTCTTATTTTTGGCTCTACATTCACTGGTACCATTTTTGCTACTTCATTTAAAAACACCCTGTATATCATCTTCTACCTAATCATCTACACCATCTACTCAACATCTACAACATCTACATCACTTTCTACTTCAACATTTACATCATCTTCAACATCTACACCACCTACATCATCATCTACATCATCTTCTACTTCCTCATCTACAGCATCTACATCATCATCTACACCATATACATCATCATCTACAACATCTACATCAAATTCTACTTCAACATCTACATCATTTACAGCATCTACACCATTTATATCATCATATACATCATCTTCTACAGCATCTACATCATCTTCTACATCATCATCTACAGCATCTACATCATCTACATCACTTTCTACTTCAACACATCTACAGCATATACATCAACATCTACACCATCTACATTATCATCTACAGTTCTACATTACCTTCTATGTTATCATCCTCATTATCTACGTAATAAAAAGCGACCTGCATTACAGGAACTATGACAGGTTGACCAATGTCGCCACTATGCAGACAAAAGTCTTGTAATATCATCATTTAAAATTTGTTTTCGTTCGCATCGCTCTTTGCAAGTTTTAATAACTCGGTAATATTTAATATTTACCAGTTTATCAGATCTTCAGAGTAGACAAGAGACATTCCCATTTACTTGAAAGAGTAGCAGTGATTAAGATGGCTGGATTCGACAGTCTCTATTCAAGAACAGTTTGAGAGTCATTCAGTCGTACTCATGCCGCCTAGATTTATTCCTGGTCTGACAGGAAATTCAATTATGTGTTGGGGCTTGTTCCTGCACGTCTGAACACTGTTTCCGATATCGGTGGTAAAGCTTGTCAAATAAAATAGAAGCATTCCAGACAATTAGAGTTGCTTCCGCATCCCGGGGAATGCTAGGATCGATTATTTTTTTATATCATTACAGTATAAATTCAAGAACGTATTTACAAGACTCTTAATTTTGCAAATTACATGTTTCTAAAACAATTTTTCATTTATGTACTTCTCTGTCTACTTATACAGACACTTTTAGACTTTATTAAAACCCATAGTCCAGTCTCTAGTTTCCAATTTTTCAAACTTGATGGATTTTAATTCACAACACTGCCACTGCATATACATATAAATCCATTGAAGATGCTGCATTGAAAATGTCTGCTATTGCTAAAGCTTTAAATATATGTGAATCAAAGGTCTCCACTATACCAAATGATAATTTTACCATGAGCAAAGTTTCAGCAAGTGGGTTCCAAAATTGTTGACTTCCGAACCAAAACTCGCATGAAATTTTTGGATGCAAACTCTCATAGTGACAAGCAATGAGGTTTGAGTACGTCGCTGTTTTGTTCCTGCAAAACCCAATCGCATAAAAACCCAATAAGAGGCAACAAATATAGCAAATTAAATACCTAGTGAGAGATTAAATCCTGTCTAAAGATCTACACGAATATACTGAATGTAAGGAAAGATACTGCAATAGGGGTAAAGGTGGCTTTGACACCTCTTTTGTTACTTCGGAAGGATGCAGAACGCTGTCTCACTTTGAAAATTCAAAAGTATAGCGAAAATGTATTTTTGGTGAATGGAGCTAGGCCTCCGATGATGATATAGGGACGCTATTCGCTGTCGTTGTGATTTTTTTATTTTTTTTTAATTAGAAAGTGTAGCAAAAATTGACTGCTCCCAGACTTAATCGCATGTGCATACATCTTCGAGTTTCCTTTCATCCTCCCGCGTTCCCCAAGCCCCTATGGCACCGCTCGACAATCTCAATCGCTCTCCACGCCACATTTGCATGACCACAACGCGCACACGTCTGCCTCTAAGTAGTTCAGATTATAACCCACGAGATTAGAGCGCTTTTTCTCGTGAAATCTGAAATGTGTTTGCGCCACTTCGATAATCCCAGTGGACCCCATCATAATATTTCTCGGCGGCGACCGTGGAATCAATAAGCATGCCCTAGCAACGACAAAAAGGCCGGGACACGGCATTGTCTGATTGATTACCTTAAGCGCATTAATTGAAGTAGCTTGCGATAAGTGGCAAACTTCTCGATCCCTGGATGTCTCATTAAAACAGACAGCGATTATATTTTCAGTTCTGTTCCTTTCAGAAAGTTTTCAGTCGCTGAAAGGTTTTTCTATTCAGCACGTCTTAATGAGTTGGCGATAACTATGACGGCGAGAAATGTTCGCGCATTGTAAAATCTCCTGGCCATGGCCCGCTTTAAGATAAAAATAATGAGGCTCAACTCAGGGTGAAAAAATGTTTTACACTTTAATATTAAAAAACATTTGAGATCAGTTATTATTCGCTCAGATCATAGCGGAATTTTTCTCTGAAAATGACTTCTATTTTGCTAACTCTTGCTACAATATCTATAAAATATTACAGTTCAAAATAAATATCAGTTTAAAGTCATTTTTACAAGTGGTTTGCAGAGCAAAATTTTAAGTCATTTTGCAGATGTTGTAAATTGAGAATTGTCATTTCTACAATTAATTAATTTATAAATTATGACTAAGTCATTTTACAAGTGGCATTTTACAAATTAAGTCATTTTACATGTGCTATGTAAAGTCACTTGCATATTGAAATATGAAACCAGTTTTATAAATAATCATTTATGAACATGAAATCATAGTTATCATGATCATCAAGTGACTTAATAATAACTTGAAGTCATTTTACAAGTAACTTGTAACTTGTCATTTTAAAAATTCATTGTAAATTGAGACTTACAGTTATTTTTAATCAAGATTTAAACTATATTTACAAATGACTTTGTCAAGTCAATTTTACAGGAAACTCTTATTTTTTAGACACAATAACATGTCAGCAATATGGCTAATATATGACTTAGTTAAGTCAATTTTACAAGGGGCTTGTATCTTATCCTTTAGACACAATAACCTGCAAGCACGACAATTATTATTTATTGTTGTTTGGAATAATAATAACTTTTATATTTATTAATTCACAGACCACCTTAAAGTCATTTTTACCTGAAACCTGAAAACCTGAAGTCAATTTGCATCTGTTTATAAAATGACAATTATCATGTCTACAAGCAATTTGTAAATTAAGATTTAAAGTCACTTTACAAATGTCGTTTCACAAGTCGAGTCATTTTAAATTGTATTGTATTGTATAAATAATCGTTTATGAACATGAAGTCGTAGTTATTGTGACTCTCACATCATTTAATAATTACCTTGAAGTCATTTTACAGGTAACTTTTTGTTATATCTAGTCATTTTAGAAATTCATTGTAAATTGGGACACAGTTATTTTTAATTAAGGCTTAAAATTATCTTTGTAAACACTTTTTGTCAAGTCAATTTTACAAGAATCTTATTTAAAAAAAAATAACCTGT